TTTCCCTATCTAAACCCTGTTTGAAGTCTCATTTAAGTTCTCCTGTTGCTCAAACTCTTATATTTTTGTCTTCCTTCACTGTCCTCTGTATTTATCCTTTAATGCTTGATTGTGTATCTTCTTATATTATTCTCCAATTGTTTCCTGGAAAGAACATTAAGATGCCTGCTCTGTTTAGTATACACTGTTGTATCTGCCATCCGAGACAACTAGTATGTAACTGGAAATAGATTAGGGATGGGATCATTGACATATAAAAATCTGAAACTCCTCAAGCTACATCATTCCTCTTTTTTTATTTATCGATTTATAGCTACCATTGATCCAACATTGGACTGTCTCATTTTCTTTATTTCAAGGTAACACTGTGTAGACTTTAATATTAAGAACACTGTTACACAGATATAGCCAAAGACAAGTCTCTGCTATTTTTCCAAAATCATAAAATTCTAAAGCCAAATTCAATGATTTGGAATGTATACTGTTTTGAATATTTTACCCACTTTTATATTCAGTCATATAGCTAGTTCTTAGTTTTAATCACTAAATTATTTAAAGTAGCTTAAATAATAGATAACATATCAATTTTAAACAACTGTCTTAGTAAAATATTTTGAATAAACAGTATTTCATTTCCTCAGATTATAATATATTAGTTACTATTATGGTAATCATTTCACACCAAGTCAACACTTTGTACACTTTAAACTTACACAATGTTATGTCAGTTATGTCTCAATAAATCTGGAAAAGAAAGTTACTATGTGAGTATTTTTATAATAATTTTTAAGTAAAATAATCATAGAATCCAGCAGCAGTTGCTAAAACACTTAGAGCACTTTTATTTTAATAATTATCATGTGACTCCATTTACTCTCCAAAGTAAGAAATGTTCTTAACAAATGTAGGAACAGAACAGCAATAACTGAGATTAAATTAAATGATAAAAAGTACATGTGGTATCTGTGAGCACTTACAACTTAACATGAATGTTAAATCCTGTTGGAAATTATTATTTGTTCTCCAACTAAGAAACAAAACTTTGTCCCAATTATATTACATTCTATTGAAGGTTCACTAAATGTTTTAACAGTATTTTTGTTTTAATAGATACATTCTGGAATATAATTTAAACAAAACTAAGATATATTTTTTCTTTTTTCTCTTAGGAGTTTCAATTGCTGAAAGCTACTTGGAAATAGAAGGAATGGCTAATTGTCTTCCATTCTATGGAGTGATGGATTTAAAAGAAATTCTTAATGCTATATTAAACAAAAATGCAAAAGAAGTTTATGAATGTAGACCTCGCAAAGTGACAAGTTATTTAGAAGTATGTGTTATCTGATTATTTAGGTTGGCTAGGTTTTATGACACTTGACTGTTCCTTAATAAAATAGTAAGTGGTTTCAAAATAGTAAAGTTTCTATAAGGTTTATTATTGTTTGCAAGAAGGAAATACTATTAAAGGAAGAAAACTTCTTTAAAAGTTTCACCTCATAAACTGGTTGTTGTACACTCTATCATGGATCTTTACTATAACATTATTTTTTTAGTATATATTGAGGAAGACTTATGCATGAAACATTTTGTAGTGAAGTTCTTTTTGTTGTTATGCTTTTATTTTTTTAGAAGGGATTCAGAATTGCTCCACCTTTATACCAAATACTTGTCTAAAAAGAACTGTAATATGATTTTAAGCCATGATCTCTTTAAGGGCAAAGAAAAGAGAGAAAGTGAAACATGTAGATTATTAAATAAATGGAAGTTTTAGTTTTCTGGCAATATCTACCACAAATGAGAAATATAACAGTGGGTTTTAAAAAATTCAAAAGTAATAGAGGATGGAGGAAGATTATAAACTTTTAAATGTCCAAATATAAGATAGTGGTGGGAAAACAATAGTGATCGTATGTTTGAGGAGCCATCCCTGAAAGATGACTGATATTATTTTAAAAACAAACCTGAACTTTAAAAGTTTTTTTCTCCTTTTTAAAAAATGAGTCATTTTTCTCTTGGACTGTAACCATGGTGTCCCAATGCATTCTGAGGGTCAGACATCCTCAACAGGGAAGTCCATTTTTTAACCCTTTTTGAAGATTGTATTCAGTAACATACTGTGAGTCTTTCAAGAGCTTTGTCTTGTGAACCTTCACAGCCTATTGTGGGGGCAGTTCAACAGTGATAGTTTCTAGAGACATCAAAGGAATTTTTTCACGTGAAAAAGTTAGTATAAACTTAAATAAAGGTTGATGAAGTTGCAGGTAGTGTTTTGTATATTGAGGAACCACGTGGGAAGAAATAAGATTTCAGAAATAACAAATTTAAGTTAGATATAAATATTTTTGCTAATATTATACCTCATTAGATTAAAGTAATTAGTGGATGCGGTTCTTAAGAAAGATAGCCTAGAAAAAAAAGAGAACCGTCTGTTAGAACCACAGGAATGCTTCATTTAAAGCCATACTGAATTAGATGAAACAGAAAGATAGGAGAGTGAAGGGAGAACCAAAAGAGGGGTGGATATAAAATGATGGGAGGAAAGACATTTTAATATAAGTAGTATCACATTTTTCATAGGGTAACAGTTGCTAGAAGACCATCAGGTGTGGCTGTTCAGTGGCAGTGATAACCTTGAAGAGAGTCGAAATGGAAAAGTGGCAGGGGTGGAAGACTTGCCAGAGGTCAAAGAATAGTGGGGTAGTGGTGAAAAGTGTAGGCAGCATGTCAGATGGTGGTGAAAGGAAGGCAAACGATTGGAGAGCGGATGTTCCAAAACATGTAGGAAAGGACAGTGGGATATGATACAAGCTTTAGAAAGGAGAAACCATTCTGTGAATAAAGAGCAAAAAAAGGGAGGAAAAGTGAAAGTAAAAATATTTTGAGCTAAACTCGAAGTCATGTTACCTCAAGGAAGTCATGTATGATACATGTGGTAAAGGGGTAGGAAAAGTTATCTGTGGAGAATGAAGGGGCTGGGGTGCCACTGGGGATTTGAATATAGTGGAAAAAGTTTGAAACTAAGAGCAAGTAGGCACTCTAAGAGAAGGTTGGTTAGAGAAGAATGAGATTTCGTGGCATTAAGGGATCATAAAAACTAACATTGGTATTGGATCCAGCCAGGAGCTTTGTCATTCTCCAGTGCTTGGTAGAATTTATCCAAGGGTAGGGAGCAGCAACATGAATGTGGTGGGAGAACAAGAGAGTAAATGAGGAAATTTGAATACATAAGAGGTTTCTTATACCAAAAAGACCTGTTAGATCCCAGAGGGATATAAAGATGAATTAGATTCTAGTAGGAATTTGCCTTTAGATTTTAGTAGGAGTCCTAAAGGAATGCAGGAAGCTAGAGATAGTTTCCTTTATTCTTACTATTCATACCTTACATAGGGAA